ATGGTATCTAATTTTCAACAAAATCAAATTTTTGCTGAAGCTATTGAATCTAGCAGTGATGATAATAATAACTATATAGATTTGGATTTAGATAATGATAATGATTTAGAGCTTGTTCAAATTCTTTTATTTTATCCACAAACTTTAAACCCACAAATTTCTTATTATAATCATCCTAAATCAGATGATTGGGTGAGAAATATATTATTTAATTATGATGAAGTTAGATTTAGAAGAACTTTAAGAATGAGCAAATCTACTTTTTTTACATTAGTAAACCAAATTCAAAATCATTCTGTTTTCTATTCTAATGCAAATAATATGCAAAAAGATATTTAAATTCAACTTGCAGTTACATTATTTCATTTAGGATCTTTATCAACTATTTGGGCTATTTTTGCTCAGTTTGGTATTGCTGAGGGTACAGTTCATTTATTTATAGATAGAGTAATTACTGCTATAAGATCATTCAGATCTGAGTATATTAAATAGCCACAAGGAGATTATAAAAAAGAAGTTTTTGAAGAATTTCAAAAAATGCAAGGATTTCCTTTAATTATTGGAGCAATTGATAGTTTATATATACCTTTTTTTGAAGCATCTAGCAGAATTAATAAAGATGTATACTTTTCTAGAAAACACCAATATGGAATTTATCTTCAAAGAATAGTAGATTATAAAGTTCTTTTTATTAATTATGATATTGGATGGCCTGCTTCTGTACATGATGCAAAAGTATTTCAAAATTCAAATATTTATAAACAATCAACTAATTTTTTTGAAAGAGAAGAATGTTTTTAGGAGATTCAGCATATCCTTTGCTTTCTTTTATTATAACACCAATTAAAGTTCCAAATAGACCACAACAACAACACAAATAAATTATAATATTAAGCATAGTAAAACTAGAGTTGTAGTTGAACAGGTATTTGGTCATTTAAAAGCAAGATTTATATTTTTAAAAGCAATAAAAATTAGTGATCCACCAAACGGAGTAAAAATTATTGAAGCAGCATTAATTCTTCATAATTTTATAGGAAAAAATAGAGATATATGGAGAGAAACAGAATATAATGATGATGCAATTGAAATTCAACCTGAAGAAGATTCTGAATTAGTTGATTAAATTTTAGATGAACTAAATTTAGTTCAAAAAGAATATGCAAAAGTAAAACGTCAAAATTTATTAGAAATAGTTTTATAATTTTAATGTTTAAATTTTATTTAATTACTTAAATATTTTTTTGCAAAAATAGAAATTGTAGATTTATTATTTTATAATATATTTAATTTATATCTTTTGTAAAAAACATTATTTGCATATTTATAATATTGTAAAGAATTTAATTGTGAATTATAATGTCGCAGAGTTTATTTAACTTACTGTGTATTTGTATACTTTACTAACAGTCTTTAGCTCGCTTGGCCAATATATGATAACTAGAGTATCATACCAGATACTACTACCGATAACAATATGCTTATTTAGATAAAACAGTATATTCACTAAGAATATCACAATAACAAAAGTTTTGGTATCTCCTCTTTATTACTAATGCACATGTTCGTCACTGATTATTATATACTTTTTTATCACTTATGAATCAATATTTTAGACTTTTAATTAAATTGTGATTACCGGATATGGATTATGCATTAGACATTCAATTAACATGTACCTGATATAGTATTGCACAGCACTAAGTAACTTTGTTTCCAAAGTTATAACAACTCAAATCTATCCTATCAAGATTTACCTTTTCAACCCAATTATCAAATACTACACTAACTAATTTTTTCAGACTATTTGATCTAGGTATAATTGTTTATAAAAATTAATTTTTTTTATATTATGTCTTAGACACTATTTTACTTCATCACAATATGCAGCTTTCCATTTACTTTAATTAATACTCTTTTTATATTCTTTATTATTATCAAGCTTTGGAGCGCTTATCATTCTAGCTTTTATATTTTTGTATTGATCCTAAATACTGCACTTTGTAATATATTTTTAATCAAACTTCTAAACTTTAAATACTTACTAGAAAAACAGCTGCATTTTGTGAGCTGGAGTCCTAATTCTTAGGCTTTAATTATTAAATTCAGATTTGAAATTTTAGAATTGCTTTTAACTTTTAGAATTATATTAATAAATTTATAAAGAAATCAATCTTTTTTCTTCTATTAGTTACTATTTTAAATGCATAACATGTTCTAATTTTGTAATCTGTCAAAAGAAAAGCAGTATTAAAAAGATTAGTTATAGTACAAATTCTTGATACTTTGCAAATATAAGACCTGTTACAAATTCCTTATTTTCAAAATTTATTATAGTTACAGCTTGTTACTTATAAATTGTAATTGTTCAAGCAAGGCATACTAAAATGTTCATACATTTGATTTTAATCTTGTCCAGTTTGTCAAACAACTAAAGTATCAATTGTGGCTGATTCCTGAAGTAACTTTGTAATAAATTCTTGAAAATCTTACAGAAAACTAATTACATCTCTGTAACTGAGTTGCTCACCTTTAAGATTAAAGACAATTAATATAAGAAAATCTGTACGATTATTGTTTCCTCAACTTGGCTAAGCTGAGGTAACCTAGTTGGAATTTTTATAAATAAAATATTTATTAAATTTTGCAAATATATATTTTAATATATATTAATACTACATATATACTGTATATTATAATATACTTAGATCTTTATTATTCTTTGGTAAAAACCTTTTTAGAATCAAATTGTTTATACTATATCTATTGCGAGTGCTAGTTTGATTATTTAGAGTAACTGAAAGAAAATATTCCTTATAAAATAGGACAATAGATATTTAAGTTCGAGTATTATGAAATTTTTTAGAAGACTAGCTTATAAAATAAATTTTATAACAATATAATTTTATATAGTTATTAAATATCCTTAATGCTATTTTCTATATTTATATGCTGTGCTTTCCTTCTTTAATTGACATTTATAACAAGCTTATCTCTTTTCTGACTTGTTTTTTTATATACTATTGCTATTGAACTTTTCATCATCTTATGCTATCATTTTTTTTATTTCAATTTTCTTAGATGTGTAAGTTCTTTTTTGCATTTTAAAATTTATCAAATTGAAAAAGAACTTCCAATATGATTAACCACAATAAAAAATTTTTCAAAGTAATATAATTACGTATTTTATAGCATATTTTATATAAAGTTTTTTTTTTTGACATACAATATCATAATTTAATGAAATAAATATAAGCTTTAAAAGTCTAGTACTTTATTTTGAACTAAGAATTTTGGTATCCAATATCAAACCTGATTTAGGTTCAATTTCTAGATATGTAACCTAAATCTGGATCAGTTGAAGCAAGAACCAGATATTTGTAGTGTAAGACTTCCATCTCACTTTCCTCAACTCTAGCCAATTATTGGTTCTTTGATAACTCAAAACATTTAATCTTATCAGATTATTCATACAATCTCTAGCTTTCAACACACTATTTAATATTTGTATGGTGCTTGGCTAATTTATAAATACTTCTCTATTCTAATGCATCGTTTATTTTTATTATCATAGTCATGATCATGTACTTGCTTTACTATCGCAACTCACATAATTAATAATCTGACAATAAACAAACTCTTTTTGTTCATTCTTTTTATTTTTAATTCCATGTTCATTGTATCTAAGATTGCAAATTCTACTAATGTTCTTCATAATAAAGAACTTCTGGCAATTAATAAATGCTTTAGCTTAGGGCTAAAACATACATAGTATACAGCGACCATTTACTACACTGCCTCAAATTTACAAATAATAAAATTTTAATATAATATGAATTAAAAACAACACTTATTAAATAGCCAGTATTTCTATATATCATTTTAGCCCTGCTTTAGCTTCATCCTTTCTAATGCAAAATTCATTTTTATACTGATATCTGATTCTATTTATTCTACTATCTGCAGTTTATCCCTATTATAATCAAACTCAGCCTCATTATCCTTCAATACATTTACTACACATCTTACATTTATATTATTATTGTCTTTCAGTTTTTTTTCTCTTTGTTGATACTATCATTTTTCATCAATTTGCCTTTTATACTTCAACATTAACAAAATCTCAATTATACTCCTTTTATTAATCACATAATTTTTATTTGGATTATTCTACCTTTTGGTTATGGTTATTTAATACTAAGTGTTACTTGTATTTATTTATAGTATAATAATACTTTATTGAACTGTTAAATTTAAAATTTATATTTAAACTTACTACGTATTATATATCTATTAATTTTTATTTAATAATGATGTTTAACATTTTACAAATTTTTTAACATTAGACTTACTACTGTACTATACTAATATTTCATTTCTAACTCCTTTAATCTTGTTTCCAATTCCTTTAACTTAAGTTCAAAATTAATTTTTATTTGTTTTTCTAAATATAATTTTTCATTTTCATCTTTAATTTGAGCAT